GGTGAGGGGTTATTGGGTTATAGGGTGAGGGTTATAGGGTTATTGGGTTATAGGGTTATTGGGTTATAGGGTTATAGGGTTATTGGGTTATAGGGTGAGGGTTATAGGGTGAGGGGTTATTGGGTTATAGGGTTATTGGGTTATAGGGTTATTGGGTTATAGGGTTATAGGGTTATTGGGTTATAGGGTTATTGGGTTATAGGGTTATTGGGTTATAGGGTTATTGGGTTATAGGGTTATAGGGTTATAGGATGAGGGTTATAGGGTTATAGGATTATAGGGTGAGGGGCTATGGGATGAGGGACTATGGGATGAGGGGTTATAGGGTGAGGGTTATAGGGTTATTGGGTTATAGGGTGAGGGTTATAGGGTTATTGGGTTATAGGGTTATTGGGTTATAGGGTTATTGGGTTATAGGGTTATTGGGTTATTGGGTGAGGGGTTATAGGGTTATTGGGTTATAGGGTTATAGGGTTATTGGGTGAGCAGTTTCAGGCTGAGCCATCACTGAACATCCTCCTCTGCCAGAGCAGATCCAGCACGGAGCATCCTCACCTGGGACCCTCACCCGGGACCCTCACCTGGGTGTGACCCTCACCTGTGTGTGACCCTCACCTGGGACCCTCAGCTGGGTGTGACCCTCACCTGTCTGGGGACCCTCACCTGGGACCCTCACCTGGGACCCTCACCTGGGACCCTCACCTGGGACCCTCACCTGTGACCCTCACCTGTGTGTCACCCTCACCTGGGACCCTCAGCTGGGTGTGACCCTCACCTGGGACCCTCACCTGGGACCCTCACCTGTGTGTCACCCTCACCTGCCGGGGCCTGAGCCCCTCCCGTCACCCCCCAAACCCCTCCAGGAGCTCCTCCTGCAGCTCCCAACACCTGGAACAACCCTCCGAGGGGAGGAGGAGTGCGAGAAACACCCGGGACAGGACCTCACGGCCTCCCCTCGCGCACAGGAAATGGATTTCTGCTTCTTTCGGCTCGGAGGAATCGCTGATGGCGCTGGGTAAGGAAGGAACCGTGAGGCTTCTGACACCATAATCCTCAACATCCAAATATTGGGCTTATTTTTGGTTTTAAATTTAATTTTTGCAGCAGAAAAAAATCATTCAAACTGAATTTATTAATTTTTTTTTCCCCCAAAATATTGTGTTTTATTTCCTTCCTCTTTTCTCCTTTCCTTTCCTTTCCTTTCCTTTCCTTTCCTTTCCTTTCCTTTCCTTTCCTTTCCTTTCCTTTCCTTTCCTTTCCTTTCCTTTCCTTTCCTTTTTTTTATATTTTTTCCCATTTTTTCCCCATTTTTCCCATTTTTTTTCCATTTTCTTTCCATTTTTTCCCATTTTTTCCCCATTTTTTCCCATTCTTTTCCCATTTTTTCCCATTTTTTCCCATTTTTCCCCATTTTTTCCCATTTTTTTCCATTTTTTTCCATCTTTTCCCATTTTTCCCCATTTTTTCCCATTTTTCCCCATTTTTTCCCATTTTTTTCCATTTTTTTCCATTTTTTCCCATTTTTTCCCCATTTTCTCCCATTTTTCCCCATTTTTTCCCATTTTCTTTCCATTTTTTTCCCATTTTTTCCCATTTTCCTTCCATTTTTTCCCATTTTCCCCATTTTTTTCCATTTTCTTTCCATTTTTTTCCCCATTTTTAAAAATTTTTTCTTTCCAATTTTTCCCATTTTTTTCCATTTTCTTTCCATTTTTTCCCATTCTTTCCCCATTTTTTCCCATTTTTTTTCCATTTTCTTTCCATTTTTTTCCCATTTTTTCCCCATTTTTTCCCATTTTCTTTCCATTTTTTCCCATTTTCCCCATTTTTTTCCATTTTTCTTTCCATTTTTTTCCCATTTTTTAAAATTTTTTCTTTCCATTTTTTCCCATTTTTTCCATTTTCCTTCAATTTTTTCCCATTTTCTTTCCATTTTTTCCCATTTTCCCCATTTTTTTCCCGTTTTTTCCCCATTTTTCCCCATTTTTCCATTTTTTCTTCATTATTTACCATTTCCTTTTTAAATTTACTTTTTCCCCAGCTGGATTTTAACCAGAGAAAAGCGAATAAATCATCTCGGGGTGGAATTTCGTTACCGCCCTCCCCTCCAGGCTTTTGGATGAACCCAAAAAATGACAAAATTAACCCAAAAAAGGAGAATTTTGGAGGGAAATGGATTTGAATTTTGCCTTTCCTAACCCCAAATTCTGCTCCCCAAACCCCAAAAAGTGAAATTAGGGTGAGACACCAAAACCCCCCGAGATTTTCACCCAAAATTTCCCCATCAGAGAAAAACCTACCCTGGGGGGAAAAAAACCCCAAAAAAAACCCCAAAAAATTAAAAAAAACCCAAAAAAACACCCCAAAACTTTTAATTTTCATAGAACAAAACCTCCAAACCTCCTCCCTCCCCTTCCTGCCTCTCAAACTCAAAAAATCCAAAATAAATCATTTATTTCCAGAGTTTGAAGGGACTTTTTTTTGGTTTTATTTCCAAGTTTTTTTGAGTTTTGCCAGCACAAAACGTCAACGCGTCACCTACGAGACTCAGCCTAAGAAAAATTACGAAATTCAGCCAAATCTTGCATAGAAGTTGTCGATTTATTGCACATTGGAACCCAAAAAATCGACACTTTTGCTGCTGCAAATAAAGCTTTTTTTGTTAAAATCTAGTTTATTGGAGGGGTTTTTAATTTGGAATTTTTTTTGTTGTTGTATTTTATATTTTATTTTATTTTTTTTTTGCTTTGGGGGGGGATATTTCCTGGCTATCTAAAATCTAAGGAGAACAGAAAAAATCTTAAAAAAATAAAAATAACCATGGACAATGGCATAAGCCAGAAGCCATTCTATAATTTTTTTTTTTTTTTTTGTAGTTCTTTCGTATTTACAAAAAAAAAAAGCATGCCAATAAAATAAAATGATATATTACAGTATTTATAATATTCTCTTAAAAAGTTCAACCACGCTTTGCTATTTTTTTTAAAATTTTTTTCCATTTTTTTTTGTGTGTATATACATATGTATGTAGAATTAAATTATTTTTTTTTTAATTTTTTATATATTTTTTTTTTGTGTTTCTTTGTTGTTATTTTGATTTATTTTATTCATCTTATGAGGAAAAAGGGGGGCAGGACAGGAGATGCACCCCGAGGTCGGGGTTTGTTTGATTTCAGGTGATTCTGGGTTTTTTCTGGCTTTTATGGGATGATAAAAAACTGAAATTTTGAGTTTTTTTGGGGTTGTTTTATTTGGTTTTGTGCCCCCTTGGTTTGGGTACCCCCCGCTTTGGAGGGGGCTGCACCCCCTTGGGTTCCCCCCAAAACCCGAGTGGGGTTTAGACCCAAAATTGAGTCCCAAAACTGAGCTGGGGATGGGGAAAACGCAGAGGGGACCCCAAAACCCCTCCTGGTAACCCCAAAACTCCTCCTGGTCACCCCAAAACTGAGCTGGGGATGGGGAAAACGCAGAAAGGACCCCCAAAACTCCTCCTGGCCACCCCAAAACTCCTCCTGGCCACCCCAAAACTGAGCTGGGTATGGAGAAAATGCAGAGGGGACCCCCAAAACCCCTCCTGGTCACCCCAAAACTGAGCTGGGGATGGAGAAAACCCAGAGGGGACCCCCAAAACCGAGCTGGGGATGGGGAAAACACAGAAAGGACCCCCAAAACCCCTCCTGGCCACCCCAAAACCCCTCCTGGTCACCCCAAAACCCCTCCTGGTCACCCCAAAACCCCTCCTGGTCACCCCCAAACCCTCAGTGCCTCCCCCCCAGGGCAGGAGAAGCTCGGGGGGAGCCCCAAACCCTCCCTCCACCCCAAAACTCCCCAAATCCCCACCAGAAGAGGGAATTTTAACATTTTTAATCAACTTTTTTTTCACCATTTATCTCTCCCAAAAAAAAAATCAGAAGTGTCAGCGCTGCAGGATGGAGGCGGAAGGAGAATTAATATTAACGATCAATTATTAATATTAATATTAATTAATATTAAATATTGCAGGGTACAACTGGCCTTGCTGGCTTCTTGAAGCCCTAAGTTTTGGATTTACACGGTTTAAAATAAAAAACATTCCCAAATTTATCCCATTTTGGTGAAGTCCAGAGCAGCATTTTTAGATTTTGTTCTCGTTTTAAGTGTGCGAAATAGAAATAAATAGAATAGAAATAATAGCGTGCAAAAAAAGAAATAAAAATAAAAATAAAATAATAATAAAAAAAGTAAAAAAAAAAAAAAAACCCCTCATGGCTGTATGGAAAATAAAAAGTTATTTAAATAAAGATTTAAATTAATAAAGATTTAAATAAAGATAATTCATTCATTTCCTTGGTGGGTTCTGCTGAGGGAAGTTGGTTTTTTTAGGGGTGGATTTTGGGGTGTTTTGGGGTATTTTTGGGTACTTTTGGAGTATTTTTGGGTGTTTTGGGGTATTTTTTGGGTATTTTTTTGGTATTTTTGGGTATTTTTTGGGGGTGTTTTGGGGTATTTTGGGGAGGATTTCAGGGTATTTTGGGGTATTTTGGGGTATTTTGGAGTGTTTTGGGGTATTTTGGGCAATTTTGGGGTATTTTTGGGGCATTTTGGGGTATTTTTTGGGCTGTTTTGGGGTATTTTTGGGGGTATTTTGGGCTGTTTTGGGGTATTTTGGGGTGTTTTGGGGTATTTTGGGCTATTTTTTGGGCTACTTTGGGGTATATTTTTGGGGTATTTTTGGCCATTTTGGGGTATATTTTTGGGATATTTTGGGGTATTCTGGGGTATTTTGGAGAGGATTTTGGGGTGGTTTTGGGTATTTTGGGGTATTTTGATGTGTTTTGGGGTATTTTGGGGAGGACTTTGGGGTATTTTGGTGTATTTTGGGGGTATTTTGGGGTGTTCTGGGGTGTTGTGGGGTATTTTGGGATGTTTTGGGGTATTTTGGGATGTTTTGGGGTATTTTGGGCATTCTGGGGTATTTTGGGTTGTTTTGGAGTATTTTCAGGTATTTTGAGGTGTTCTGGAGTATTTTTGTGAGTTTTGGGCTATTTTTGGGGCTATTTTTGGCTATTTTGGGCTATTCTTGGGGTATTTTGGGCTATTTTTGGCTATTTTGGGCTATTCTTGGGGTATTTTGGGCTATTCTTGGGCTATTTTGGGCTATTCTTGGGGTATTTTGGGCTATTTTGGGCTATTTTTGGGCTATTTTGGCCTATTTTTGTGTATTTTTCCCCCCTTTTACCAACCCATCCACGGAATATCCTGAAACCGCTGGCGGGCAGGAGCATCACTGAGTTTTCTCTCCAAATCCAGCGCAGGGTAAATAAAAAGCCGGGGTTTTTTTTTCGTGGTTTGTTTTTTTTTTATGGCTTGACACACCTGTGTGGACAGGTGAGCGCAGGTGTCTCCTGCTCGTGGTTCCTCATGCATGGTCCCTGCTCGTGCCTTTTCATTTTTCATGCAGAAATCGCTTTCCAAACAACATTTGGAGTTGTTTTTTTTGGGGGGGGGGGTTGTGGGGTGGCTCCAGGCTCCCAAACCAAACCCATGGAGAAACCAAAATGTAAATAATAAATAATAATAATAATAATAATAAAATCTCAAATAAACCATGAGGATTAAGTGGGGTTAATGCTTGATTTGTTTCATTTCTCATCTTTTTTTTTTTTGTTCTACTTGTTTTAACTCTTTTTCAAATTTTTTTTTCCATTTTTTTTCCATTTTTTTTCAATTTTTTTCCTTTTTTTTTTTGCTGCTTAACTAAATCCAAATCTAATTCCGCACGAACAAACCCATTAAACGCCGCGACTTTCTGGGTTTTCTCCCGAGAATAACCGACAAAATGGGAAAAAAAAACAAAAAACCAAAAAACCCAAAAATAATAAATCCATTTGGGGCTGCTTTGGAAAATACATGAATCCCAGCAGCAGGTTTTGTTTTTCTCTGTGTGTGTTTGTGTTTTTGTGTGTGATTTATTTCGCTTGTTTGTCCTAAGTTGCATTGACTGATGTGGAACATGCAGTATCCACCTGCCCAAACAATAGAAAATCCTTTTTTTTTTTTTTTTTTTTTTTTTTTCCCTTTTTTTTTTTTTGTTATTTTTTTTTCTCGTGTTTAAATGTTTGTTTACAGGGTCCTTTAAACAGGTGGTAGGTCACTGCTTTTAGATGCAACGCTGTCACACGGTAAGCAGACTATGTTTGGTATAAGATCTTCAGGTAAGTGTCTCCACAGCTCTTCTGTATTGATATATTTCAAGAAGTTTGTAAACAATTTTTTTGTCTTTTTTCTTTTTTCGCTTGCAAATACTTTAATTCATACAATTCTACTATTTTTTTTTTTTTTAAATTAATTTTTTTAAAATTTTTTTTTTCCCTTTTTTAATCTATTTTTTTTTTTTTTTCCTCTCTCCTCTCTCCCCCTGTGTGTGTGTGTATGTGTGTGTGTGTGTATTTTTTATTTTTTTTGTGTGTCTCAACACTTGTGTTCCCTGTCTTTTTGTCTCTTTGCCTTTTCTCTCCTCCCCTCCTCCGCCCGCTGCTGTTTCTCCTTCTCGGGTTTGGTGACGCTGTCGTAGGAGGGCAGCGACGCCGTGGACGGGGTTCCTTCCTTTTTCTCCCTGTTTGCTCCCCCGTTTTCCAGTTTGGGGGCGGCGGGCCTGCGGCTGATGAATCCTCGTCGCGCCAAACGAGCCCTGTAGGCCCTCTGGATCACCACGGCCGACACCTCCTCCTGCTTGCGCCGCAGCGTGGTGGTGATGGGCTCGTAAGACACTTTGGAAGGGTTGGAAGCCACGAACCTCTCCTCCATCTGCTGCCTCAGGATATCCAGCTCCCCGCTGTCCCCCAGCACGCGTTTGGTGAAGGCAAACAGGATGTCCAAGCAGTGGATCCTGTCCCCGCTCACCATCGGCAGGTCCATGGCGATCAGTTCGATGGTGTTGGGCTTGGGGACGCGCAGCGGGTGCTCCAGGGCGTCGGCGAAATCCGCCAGCTTGCTGTACTCGATGAACTGCGTGGCGTCGGGGTCGAACTTCTCCCAGATCTCGTAGAACGTCTCGAAGTCGTCCTCGCTGAGCGGGTCGGCGCTCTCCTCCGTGGCCACGCTGAAGTTCTCCAGGATGATGGCGATGTACATGTTGACCACGATGAGGAAGGAGATGATGATGTAACTGACGAAGAAGAATATCCCCACCGAGGGGTTCCCGCAGTCCCCCTTGAAGCCGCTGCCCGGGTGCTCCTTGTCCAGGTCGCAGTCGGGCGGGCGGTTGAGGATGGGCAGCAGGAGCCCGTCCCAGCCCGCCGAGGTGGTGATCTGGAACAAGCAGATCATGCTGTTGCCGAAGGTCTCGAAGTTGAACATGTCGTCGATGCCGGCCTCGTGCTTGACGTAGGCGAAGTTGGACATGCCGAAGATGGAGAAGATGAACATGACCAGGAAGAGCAGGAGGCCGATGTTGAACAAGGCGGGCAGGGACATCATTAAGGCAAAAAGCAGCGTGCGGATGCCCTTGGCTCCCTTGATCAGGCGCAGGATGCGGCCGATGCGAGCCAGGCGGATGACTCGGAACAGGGTGGGGGACACGAAGTACTTCTCGATGATCTCAGCCAGGAACATCCCTGAAGGACAGAGGAAACCAGTGTGAGGGTGGGGAGGCACGGGCTGCCGCTCCCTCTGGGCTCGGAGATGGGTGGGACAGTGTGGTGGGGTTTTGGGGGGGGCCTGGGTTAGGGTGGCACCTTCAGGCAGGTAAATCCTCCTCAAGGGGAGGAGCAGCTCCAACCTCTGCTCCCTGTGGCCAGGGCCGGGCTGAGGGAACAGCTGGAGCTGGGGCAGAGTTGGGAGAGCAGGAAAAGGTTCTCCAGAGCTCCAGGAGAGCAGGAAAAGGTTCTCCAGAGCTCCAGGAGAGCAGGAAAAGGTTCTCCCAGAGCTCCAGGAGAGCAGGAAAAGGTTCTCCAGAGCTCCAGAAGAGTAGGAAAAGGTTCTCCAGAGCTCCAGGAGAGCAGGAAAGGTTCTCCAGAGCTCCAGGAGAGCAAGAAAAGGTTCTCCAGAGTTCCAGGAGAGCAGGAAAAGGTTCTCCAGAGCTCCAGGAGAGCAGGAAAAGGTTCTCCAGAGCTCCAGGAGAGCAGGAAAAGGTTCTCCAGAGCTCCAGGAGAGCAGGAAAAGGTTCTCCAGAGCTCCAGGGGTGCTGGGACAGCGCTCCAGGGATTGCTGTGGGGTCTGTGCAGGAGCTGCAGCTGCACTGGATGATCCCTTCCAGCTCAGGACACTCCAGGATTCTGTGATTCAAGGTCCTAACTCAAGGGAGAGGGAAGAGGTTGAGCCAGAGAAGGATCCATCCCTCCTGGACAACGATGATGGAACCCCCTGCCACGGCAGCCAGGCCCCAGACTCAGCCCTGAAGGCGCTAAAAGTGAGAGATAAACCCGATTTCAAATCTGGGGCTGAGTTTTAGGCTGTGGGATGGTCTGAAGGCTGGTGGTTTGAGTGGTGCCTCACTCCCACCCCTTTGTGAGGTTTATTTTGCGGATCAGACGCTAAAATCCTCAAAACCTGCTGGAGGAAACGCGGATTTAACACTCAAACAAACCCCAGTCAGAGATGGCAAATCCTGTGCTGTGGCAGGAAGCTTTTCCAGAGGCTCCTGAGAGCTAAAACATCCTGGTGAGGCGAGTGAAAGTTCCGTTTTAAACACAGAGAAAGCCAATTCCAAGCGTTTTACTCCACACAGCTGGAAAGGAAGGTCAAGAACAGAGGGGAGAGACACCAGGGGCAGACAAATTCCACCACCATCTCCTCCCAGGGCTCAAGGAGAAACCTTCAAGAGGTGAAGAGCATCCCTGTCATCACTCACCCACGATGGACAGAATCACCACCACGAAGTCGAAGATGTTCCAGCCGATGGTGAAGTAGTAGTGGCGCAGGGCGAACATCTTGAGCACGCACTCGCAGGTGAAGAAGATGACGAAGACGAAGTTGATCCAGTAGAGGATGTCCTCCATCTGCTTGCTCTGCGTGTCCGTCTCCACCATCATGGTCACCATGTTGAGGCAGATGAGCATCATGATGACGATGTCGAAGGCTTGCTGCGTGACGAAGTCGAAGACGGCGCCCTGGATGCGGTTCTGCGGCACGGGGAGAGAGGAGGAGCGGGGTTGGGAGATATTTATTTATATTTATATTTATATTTATATTTATATTTATATTTATATTTATATTTATATTTATATTTATATTTATATTTATATTTTATATTTATATTTATGTTTATGTTTCTATTTATATTTTATTTTTATATTTATATTTATATTTATATTTATATTTATATTTATATTTATATTTATATTTATATTTATATTTATGTTTATATTGATATTGATATTTATATTTATATTTATGTTTATATTTATATTGATATTGATATTTATGTTTATATTTATATTGATATTGATATTGATATTGATATTGATATTGATATTTATATTTATATTTTATATTTATATTTATTGCCATTATTTGTACCCCACCATGCTACTACAGCCCTACTAGCAGTAGGGTTGTATATATTTATATTTATATTTATATTTATATTTATATTTATATTTATATTTATATTTATATTTATATTTATATTTATATTTATATTTATATTTTATATTTAATTTTTGGAGGTCACATTTAACAAAGGACTTAAATGTCCCTGAAGTTAAATGCAGACAAGGATTAAATGCAGAGACGTGACTTGNTATATATATATATATACTTAAAATAAAAAATATTTTATATATATATATATTTATTTATATTTATATTTAAGTCTATTTAAATATATTTATATTATAAATAAATGCCATTATTTATACCCCACCATGCTACTACAGCCCTACTAGCAGGAGGATTATATTTATATTTATACTTATTTATATTTATATTTATATTTATATTTATATTTATATTTATATTTATATTTATATTTATATTTATATTTATAGCCATTATTTGTACCCCACCATGCCACTACAGCCCTACTAGCAGTAGGGTTATATTTATTTATATTTATATATATATATGTTTATGTTTATGTTTATGTTTATGTTTATGTTTATGTTTATGTTTATGTTTGTATTTATATTTATATTTATATTTATATTTATATTTATATTTATATTTGTATTTATATTTGTATTTGTATTTGTATTTATATTTATATCTTGGAATTACTGGAATTGTTGGAATTATTGGAATAAGTGTTGGAATAATTGGAATAATTATTGGAATAAGTGTTGGAATAATTGGAATAAGTGTTGGAATTACTGGAATAATTGTTGGAATTATTGGAATAATTGTTGGAATAACTGGAGTAATAGTTGGAATTATTGGAATAATTGTTGGAATTATTGGAATAATTGTTGGAATAATTGGAATAATTTCAGCCAGGAGAAAGGGAACGCTCCTGGAGACAAAAATTCCATTTAAATCCGCTCCACATCTCCTCCCTGCACTCACCAGAGGTCTTGGAATGGGTTTTTGAGGCTTCTTGGAGCCCAGTTTTTTCATGGCATTGTAGTATTTCTTTTGTTCTTCTGTCATGAAAATGTCTTGACCTCCAAAGTAAAGGAGAAAATAAAAAATTTGGTTACAATCAGCTCATCCAGAAGGGAAAGGAGTAAAGCCCAGCTGGGTAAATGTTATTTCAGACAGAAATAATTCACATTAATCCCCCAGAGTGCACTGATCTCCCTTTAAAAATTACATTCATTTTAAAATTTTAAAATTAAATTTTAATTTTTTTTATTTCAAAATTTGAAAATTAAAATTTTAATATTTTTTTTCCCTTTTAAAATTTGAAAATTGAAATTTTAATATTTTTTTTTCCTTTTAAAATATTAAAATGGAAATTTAATTTTTTTTCTTTGAAAATTTTAAAATTAAAATTTGAATTTTTTTTTTTTTCTTTAAAACTTTTAAAGAAAATTAAATTTATAATAACAATAATAATAATAATAAAATTTAAAGGAAAAGGTGGGAAAAAAAAAACCAAAAAAAACAAAATGCCCCAAAATATAACCCAGGGGAAATATTTAATTTACCTTGAGATACATTTTGGGCTTTTTATTTTAGGAAAGATGTAAAAAAACCCCAAAATGCCCCAAAATGAAGCCAAGGGGAAATATTTAATTTACCTTGAGCTACATTTTGGGCTTTTTATTTTAGGAAAGATGTAAAAAAACCCCAACATGCCCCAAAATATAACCCAGAAAAAATTTTTCATCCACCTTGAGCTGCATTTTGAG